GATTTTTCTTCAGTGGAAATAAAAGTTCTAGCAGGCATGCGCTTCCAGGAAAGCCCAGTTTCATCAACATTGTACACTTGTTCTGGTGTGTAACCTCCTTCATCAATAATTTTCTTCAGCTCAGCAGGATATTTATTAGCAGAATCTGTATCAGCACTGGCAGCTTCACCGCTCATTTTTATGTTGTGTAAATTAAGGCGCTTCTTAAACCTTTCAAACCAGCCTTTACTAGCCAGAAAAGGTTTAACCTCAGAAGATGCACATTCCTCTTCCTGCAAATCATTATACAGGTTGTACCTCTCTAGTCCGGCAACCTCAGGACCTGACCGGTGCCGGACCATGAAAATTTCCGGACCATGGAAATTCACCTTTTTCCTGGATAGATAGTGACTTGTGCTTACGCTTGGAAGCACTAGCACCACTTTCTCTGCTTCATGGTCTCTTTGAAGACATATTGAAGGGTTAAATGTCGTACAGTAGCTTCTCAAATTTTGCGAGTTTTTAATTCGACGTTTTCTATTTGAACACACACACAAAAAAAAACACATTTAAAAATTTTGACGGCGGAAACGCGAATTTCCATGGGTTTGAACGGCCCACCAACGTTAAGATGACGTGCACAATCGTGTAAACAGCGTCATTTCTCTTATGTACAAAGATTCATTATTGTTTATTACTGAAAGTCTTTTTGATTGAATTAATGTTTGTGTGTGCAAAATGAGCAATACAATTCATTAATAATACATAGAATATTAAAACACGAGGAAATGAGACAGCATTGTTTTCGTTGATTACAAAACCAGTGACTGACTGGTTCTACATATAAAACTGAAGAAAACAAGACCCTGGTTATAGCTGTAGTAAAATTAATATGGTTGTTTTAAGTAATGTTATTTAATGTTAATAAAAGGAACAATTGAAGTAGCTAACGATAATGGTAAACAAAAAAAAGAGAGATCGTGTATGTAAGTGGGCATGCGAACACGTGAAAACATATCGTCATTACTTTACATAAGAATATGAAAGCAACACTTATTTACTGTTCATATATATTTTAATTAATGTTTCTGAATTTGTTTTTATTGAATTAATCTTTGTGTGTGCAAAATTAACAATACAATTTATTAATAATATGTGGAATATTAAAACACACGAAGAGACGAGACGGTTGCCGGCATTGTTTTTGTTAAAGCTTACAAAACCAGTGACTGATTGGTTCTACATATAATACTGAAGAAAATAAGACCCTGATTGTAGCTGTAGTAAAATTAATGTAAAAAAATTAATATGGTTGTTTGAAGTACCTGTAATGTTATTTAATGTTAATTAATGGAACAATATAAGTAGCTAACCATTAATGGTAAAAAAAAAAGTGAGACTAGTCGTATGTAAGTGCGCACATGTGAAAACATATCCTCATTACTCTACATAAGAAAATGAAAGCAACACTTATTTACTGCTCAGATATACAGTGGTCCCTCGGTTAACGAGCACAATCCGTTCCAGCAGGTTGCCCATTAACCGAAAAACTCGTTAACCGAAACCATTGTTTCAATGGGATTTTGGGTAATTGGTTCCAGCTCACCGAAAATTGCCTAAATTCAACAAAAAAGGTAGAAAAGTACACTTACTTTGAGGTGTGAATGTAGAAGGCTCCTGGATGATGATGATGGGAATTAGAATGGGGGTGGAGGAGATGGGAGAAGAGAAGGCATTGGGGTGGAAGAGAAGTCACCCCATGGCACCATTTCACCCATAAAATTTTAGTTCTCTTGGTGTAATTCAAGATTATTTTCTTTAAATCAACACTGCAGTGCATTATATATTGTCAATATGTAAAATAAATTTCAAAATGACCAATAATTTGCTTGGAAACACAGAAAAAAAGCATTTAGTTGAAGAGAGTCTCAAGCAAGATGTTACCTCCACTGAAAACAGAGAGAGACTAACGCCTGTCTGGTGTGTTAACAGGCTGGATGGCACGCCAGAAACTAGTTTCTTTACCTTCAATTATGTTCAATAATTGTTAAAATGACTAAAAAAAGTTAATACGTATTAAACTTTTAAAATTATTGAATGGTATAAACTTCTTGATATTTACTAAAATAGTAAGGAATTTAAGCCCTAAAACCGATTACTGTATTGGCGGACTAATACTACAGCTGGTGGACCGCCAAATGCAAGCGAAAACATGTTGAAGTCGGCTCGTAAAAAACTCGTTAAACGAGGGATTGTTCGTTAACCGAAGTTAAGAATATTATGGAAGGTAAATCGTTAACCGAAATCTCGTTAACCGAGGGATCACTGTATTGAAGGGTTAAATGTTGTACTCTGTATAGTCAAGCGCAGAGAGAGAGAGAGAGAGAGAGAGAGAGAGAGAGAGAGAGAGAGAGAGAGAGAGAGAGAGAGAGAGAGAGAGAGAGAGAGAGAGAGAGAGGAGAGAGAGAGAGAGAGAGAGAGAGAGAGAGAGAGAGAGAGAGAGAGAGAGAGAGAGAGAGAGAGAGAGAGAGAGAGAGAGAGAGAGAGAGAGAGAGAGAGAGAGAGAGAGAGAGAGAGAGAGAGAGAGAGAGAGAGAGAGAGAGAGAGAGAGAGAGAGAGAGAGAGAGAGAGAGAGAGAGAGAGAGAGAGAGAGAGAGAGAGAGAGAGAGAGAGAGAGAGAGAGAGAGAGAGAGAGAGAGAGAGAGAGAGAGAGAGAGAGAGAGAGAGAGAGAGAGAGAGGAGAGAGAGAGAGAGAGAGAGAGAGAGAGAGAGAGAGAGAGAGAGAGAGAGAGAGAGAGAGAGAGAGAGAGAGAGAGAGAGAGAGAGAGAGAGAGGAGGAGAGAGAGAGAGAGAGAGAGAGAGAGAGAGAGAGAGAGAGAGAGAGAGAGAGAGAGAGAGAGAGGAGAGAGAGAGAGAGAGAGAGAGAGAGAGAGGAGAGAGAGAGAGAGAGAGAGAGAGAGAGAGAGAGAGAGAGAGAGAGAGAGAGAGAGAGAGAGAGAGAGAGAGAGAGAGAGAGAGAGAGAGAGAGAGAGAGAGAGAGAGAGAGAGAGAGAGAGAGAGAGAGAGAGAGAGAGAGAGAGAGAGAGAGAGAGAGAGAGAGAGAGAGAGAGAGAGAGAGAGAGAGAGAGAGAGAGAGAGAGAGAGAGAGAGAGAGAGAGAGAGAGAGAGAGAGAGAGAGAGAGAGAGAGAGAGAGAGAGAGAGAGAGAGAGAGAGAGAGAGAGAGAGAGAGAGAGGAGAGAGAGAGAGAGAGAGAGAGAGAGAGAGGAGAGAGAGAGAGAGAGAGAGAGAGAGAGAGAGAGAGAGAGAGAGAGAGAGAGAGAGAGAGAGAGAGAGAGAGAGAGAGAGAGAGAGAGAGAGAGAGAGAGAGAGAGAGAGAGAGAGAGAGAGAGAGAGAGAGAGAGAGAGAGAGAGAGAGGGAGAGAGAGAGGAGAGAGAGAGAGAGAGAGAGAGAGAGAGAGAGAGAGAGAGAGAGAGAGAGAGAGAGAGAGAGAGAGAGAGAGAGAGAGAGAGAGAGAGAGAGAGAGAGAGAGAGAGAGAGAGAGAGAGAGAGAGAGAGAGAGAGAGAGAGAGAGAGAGAGAGAGAGAGAGAGAGAGAGAGAGAGAGAGAGAGAGAGAGAGAGAGAGAGAGAGAGAGAGAGAGAGAGAGAGAGAGAGAGAGAGAGGAGAGAGAGAGAGAGAGAGAGAGAGAGAGAGAGAGAGAGAGAGAGAGAGAGAGAGAGAGAGAGAGAGAGAGAGAGAGAGAGAGAGAGAGAGAGAGAGAGAGAGAGAGAGAGAGAGAGAGAGAGAGAGAGAGAGAGAGAGAGAGAGAGAGAGAGAGAGAGAGAGAGAGAGAGCAGCCGAACTGCCGGATGTAAACAAACCTTAATTTCCTGCAGCTTTGTTTTTTTCTTTACAGGGATTAGCCCACCCGGGCATAGGTCACTGACCCACATTGGGGCCTGAGGAGTAAAAATTTAATACTCCTGTAATAATAATAATAATTCAGATAAGTAATAAAAAAAAAAAAAGAAAAAAAGCTGACTATCTACCTAGTGGACAAACTAAAATCATTCCGGACCACGGGAGTTTCCGGACCACAGAATGCCGGACTAGAGAGGTACAACCTGTATAAACTTATGGCTTTCTGTTGAATAACCATAGTGTTTAGTGGCACATTGCATTTAGTCTGATCTTCAATCCAGACACTCAGGAGTCGTTCCATATTTAGCATCACATCACTTCTATGAAAATACAAGGTTCGAGCAGTTAATGGAGTAGCAGCTTGAGCACTTGACCTAATTTTGTCCTTATTATCATGGATTGTTCCCACTGTTGAAGTAGCAATGTAATGCCTTTGCGGCTTCTTTTTGCATTACCGTACTGTGGTCACTTCCCCTTGATGGCCTCTTTCCAGTCATCTTGAATAAGGGTAATGCACTGTACTGTACTTACTACATGTTTGTAAAAGTTAAATCCAACTGCTGGGGCAAGAAACATGCGCGCACACTGGATGTAAACAATGGACTGACTCCGCGTGGCGATGCCACGCTTGGCGGTAGCAAACACCTCCATTCCCACTTCCTTCTCTTCTCCCTTCTCCTCCACCCCCACTTCTAATTCCCATCATCATCATCAACCAGGAACCTTCTACATACACACCTCAAAGTAAGTGTACTTTACTGCATTTTCTTTTTACTTTGTATGTACTTTTCGGTGAGCTGGAACCAATTACCCAATATCCCATTGAAACAATGGATTCGGTTAACAAACGACATTCTGGAATGAATTGTGTTCGTTAACCGAGGGACCACTGTAATTATTATTATTATTGTCATTACATGAGAATTCTATATCAAAATGCTCAAATTTCATCAAAATCTAATGTAACAAGTATACAGCAATACTTTTTCCACTCTTGGACACCCTTTCCCACAAAGATATGCGGTACAGTATTTGGGATTCGAGCATCAAAGACTACCTCATTCAATGACATTAGTTCATCCCAGTTGTCTCTACTATGTAAAATACATATAAAACTTACCTCATCATTAACAGAAAGTGTCTTCTTCTCATGTGCATCAGGTCCTCGATGGTTAAGAAGAGTGTAATATGAACGAATCTAAAAAATAAGACAACTGACGATAATTACAGTACCTAAAAGAAATATCAACACAAATAAATACATATTCTGTATTTCCATTTCTCTCCATACAGTATACAGTGATCCCTCCATTAACGAATGCCTCGGTTAACTTAATTTCGGTTAACGAATTACCTTCCATAAGATTCTTCACTTCGGTTAACAAAAAAATTTCGGTTAACGAAATCCTTACAAATTTTTCCCAACATGTTTTCGCCTGCTCACCAGCTGGATTATAAGTCTGCCAATACAGTAATCAGTTTTAGAGCTTAAATTTGTTACCATTTGCATAAATATCAAGAAGGTTGTACTATTACACCAAGTGAACTAAAATTTTATGGGTGAAATGGCGGCATGGGGTGACTTCTCTTCCACCCCAATGCCTTCTCTTCTCCCTTCTCCTCCACCCCCACTCTAATTCCTATCTTCATGAACCAGGAGCCTTCTACATGCACACCTCAAAGTAAGTGTACTTTACTGCATTTATTTTTAGTTTGTATGTAATTTTCGGTGAGCTGGAACCAATTACCCAAAATCCCACTGAAACGATGGTTTCGGTTAACGAACGACCTTCTGGAATGACTTGTGTTCGTTAACTGAGGGACCACTGTACTGCAGTCTCATGCTTCAAGCATCACCATTATGCTACAACTTAACATGCCTCTATCATGGCAATAATCTCTCACAAACTTTCCACCACCCTATCCTTTACTTGTTCCTAACCTTTCAGTTTTCCTACAAACATCCTTCTGTCATACGCTCTCTATCGCCCTATAGATCCCAGTACTTCAACTTTGTTGTCCTGTTACTGGCCAAGCATCCCCACCTGAAAAACAAAACTCAACTTGATTTCATATTATTAGTTGATCTACTCTCTTAAGCACCAATCACTTGAAATATTTAAAAATTCTGTACCTACTAAATATATCCACATTACTATACGGTGGTCCCTCGGTTAACGAACACAATTCGTTCCAGAAGGTCGTTCGTTAACCGAAAATTACGTAACTCCGAAACCACTGTTTCAATGGGATTTTGGGTAATTGGTTCCAGCTCACCGAAAATTACATACAAACTAAAAATAAATGCAGTAAAGTACACTTACTTTGAGGTGTGCATGTAGAAGGCTCCTGGTTGATGATCATGATGATGGGAATTAGAAGTGAGGGTGGAGGAGAAGGGAGAAAAGAAGGCATTGGGGTGGAAGAGAAGTCACCCCATGGTGCCATTTCACCCATAAAATTTTAGTTCACTTGGTGTAATTCAAGATTATTTTCTTTAAATCAACACTGAACTGCATTACATATTCTCAATATGTAAAATAATCTTCAGAATGACCATTAATTGTACTGTAAAAACGTAAAAATAGTTTATGTTCAAGAGAATCTCAAGCAAGAAGCTTCCTCCAATGAGCAGGGACACACACTGACGCCATTTTGGGTGTGTTGAGTGGCTGTTTAGAGCACTAAAAACTAGTACAGGTTGTACCTCTCTAGTCCGGCAACCTCGGGACCTGACCGGTGCCGGACCATGGAAATTGCCGGACCATGGAAATTCACCCTTTTCCTGGATAGATAGTGACTTGTGCTTATGCTTGGAAGCACTAGCACCACTTTCTCTGCATCATGGTCTCTTTCAAGACATATTGAAGGGTTAAATGTCGTATAGTAGCTTCTCAAATTTCGCGAGTTTTTAATTCTTAACGTATTTTATTGGAACACAAAAAAATAAATAAATAAAAATTTTGACGGCGGAAACTTGAATTTCGACGGGTTTGAACGGCCCGCCAACGTGCAGACGTCGTGCATAATCGTGTAAACAGCGTCATTTCTCTTATGTACAAAAAATTCATTATTGTTTATTACTGAATGTCTTTTTTAAAGAATTAATGTTTGTGTGCAAAATGAGCAATACAATTCATTAATAATACGTAGATTATTAAAACACACGAGGAAATGACACAGCATTGTTTTCGTTGATTACAAAGCCAGTGACTGACTGGTTCTACATATAAAACTGAAGAAAATAAGTCCTTGGTTGTAGCTGTAGTAAAATTAATATGGTTGTTTTAAGTAATGTTATTTAATGTTAATAAATGGAACAATAGAAGTAGCTAACGATAATGGTAAAGAAAAAAGAGAGATCGCGTATGTAAGTGCGCATGCGCACACGTGAAAACATATCGTCATTACTTTACATAAGAATATGAAAGCAACACTTATTTACTGTTCATATATATTTTAATTAATGTTTCTGAATTTGTTTTTATTGAATTAATGTACGTGTGTGCAAACTTAACAATACAATTTATTAATAATACGTGGAATATTAGAGGAGAGGAGACGGCTGCCGGTATTGTTTATGTTAAAGCTTACGAAATCAGTGACTGATTGGTTCTACATATAAAACTGAAGAAAATAAGACCCTGATTTTAGCTGTAGTAAAATTAATGTAAAAAAATAATATGGTTGTTTGATGTACCTGTAATGTTATTTAATGTTAATAAATGGAACAATATAAGTAGCTAACCATTAATGGTAAAAAAAAATGTGAGACTGCGCGTATGTAAGTGCGCACATGTGAAAACATATCGTCATTACTCTACATAAGAATATGAAAGCAACACTTATTTACTGCTCATATATATTGAAGGGTTAAATGTTGTACTCTGTATAGACAAGCAGAGAGAGAGAGAGCAGCCGAACTGCCGGATGTAAACAAACCTTAATTTCCCGCGGCTTTTTTTTTTTTTAAGGGGATTAGCCCACCCGGGCATAGGTCACTGACCCACATTGGGGCCTGAGGGGCAAAAATTTAATACTCCTGTAATAATAATAATTCAGATAAGTAAAAAAAAAAAAAAAAAAAAAAAAAAAAAAGCTATCTACCTATTGGACAAACTAAAATCGTTCTGGACCACGGGAGTTTCCGGACCACAGAATGCCAGACTACAGAGGTACAACCTGTACTTAAATTATGTTAAATAATTGTTAAAATGACTAAAAACTTTAATATAAGACCTGGAAAATTATTGAATAGTACAACATTCTTGATATTTACACAAATGGTAATGAATTTAAGCCCTAAAACCGATTACTGTATTGCCGGACTAATACTACAACTGGTGAGCAGGAGAAAACATGTTGGGAAAAATTCATAAGGAATTCGTTAACCAAAATTTTTTCGTTAACCAAAGTGAAGAATCTTATGGAAGGTAATTCGTTAACCAAAATTTTGTTAACCGAGGGATCACTGTACATTGTACTGCTCTAATCAACATTCATTTCTTACCATACCATTCTTTCTACAACAATATTTTTTTTCTATACATACAAAATTCTGCTAAATTTTTGTTTCTCAAACCACGTTTCCCGTTTTATGAAAACATAATTCAAGTGCTGTACAGTATACATACAGTACTTTCAAAGAGCATTCTCAATATTCTGTGTATTCAAATGTATTTCAAACTACAGTACCATTATATTTCTTTAAAAAAAAATAATGCTGGGTGGTAGGACAGGTACTGGTTTCCTGATTCTTAGCTTTCAGAAGATAGTCCCTTGGAGGGTTGTTCTACTCTTGGTAAGTGCATCCAAATGTAAGGGGTATTTTACAAAGTAGGAGCCCGATCCTCTATTCATCAGGAATCAAACAAATGACCATTCATTGGCAAAATTAACACTTCACCAATTGGTAAATATATAATGGTTACTGATATTTCAAAGATACAATTACTGTGACAGTAGTGTGGGAATCAAATTTTACCAGGGGTGATGAATATTAATTCTGGTGTCTTAGATACTCTGGTGCAATGTACTGTATAGCACCTTATACAGTACCCAAAATAATGGGGCACTGCAGCACCTTCAGTACCACCTCTTCCTATGTCTATGACAGTTATATATTCTTTAGTCTTTTTGAAAATTAAATTAAGATATAGTTTTAAATTAAAGATGTGATGTTGCCAAAGCATGATTCTTCATATACTGTATTTAAAATAACAGAGATTACTCATGAGTCAGATTCCAACTATATACTGTACTGTACACCACTGTACTTGATATATGAAGTAAAGCACTGTTCATTATTATTTGTGTAACGTATATCAGCATTTATGTAGCTGCAGTATGCTGTATTATTATTTATATACTGTTCTGCATTAACATCAACTTTACATACCTGATTCTCCAAGTGAAGTGGAGGGACTAAGAAACCACAAATGAAGCAGATGCCACACATTCTCTGTAACCAGAACAAGAAGATCAGTTGTAATACTCTTCTGTGATAGCCCCTGTCGAATAGGCAAAAGCATTATATAAATGGGTTAATTACATTTGATTTATATACTTTATCACCCCCTGTAACTTTCCACTGGCTATGAGGTGACATGTTCAGAGCACGTGATAAGGTGTGCCCACGGGAAGCAGCGTCATATTGTGCTGAGTTAAGGCATTAAGTAGCCGGCTCTCTGGTCACCAAAAGCGGGCAGTAGTTTGATATCCTTGACTAGAGGAAGACGTTATTGAGAGCCATCGTGGATGGTTCGGTCTTCCGTCGAGGGAGGACGACGTACATATTCAGTTCTCCCTCGATGGGTTCCTACTCATGAGCAGAGTCACTCAATCCCTCACACCGAACGGACGTATTTAGCAAGTCTATTTACATAGCCTCCGTCCTGACCTTAACACTCATAGTTACAGTGATAATTTACGGTGATCTACATTTGGAACTGTACCTTAGATAGTTCCTGAATAAATGGATAACAGACAATTGGGTTTCGCTACTATAAACCCTATATAATATAAATGTTCCGGCCTCATTAACCTAGACAGAATCAGCAGTTAACCGGCCTAGAACACTTCCATAAATTTCCCGTGGCTTATTGAAGATACTGTGCCTGAAATTCAGAAAAGTATATCCAACATTATAGTGTCTGGAGACTTATAGGTTCACTTTCATTGTGAACTTGAGAGACTTCACAGGTCATCTTGATGGACTACTGGAATTGAAATCCCAGTTAAAATAGGAAAAGAAAAAAAAAGAAGAAAAAAAAAACATGATGTGAAAAGGGTGAAAAGGGTAACAGCTATGGGCATCAACTGGGGTGGAGGGAGGAGGCCAACTCAGGCTTGTGTCAATGGATAATATTGTTTGGTTGGGTCAGGGGATTAACGTGGTCAATTTTCTGAGGCCAGAAAGCTAGGGTTGCCATACATATGTATTTTCCCAGACATGTCCTCCATTTAGGTCTCGAAATCTTCATCCGGAAGTAATTTTTAAAATTCTTCAAAAGTCCGGAATTTCACAAAAAGTGGACCAGATACTTTGAAAAATCAAAGAACATTGAATGCCACTCAGAATTGCTGAAAATTGCACAATTCTTCTTTACTATATCATCTCACAATGCAAATGTAGAAAGTTTTTTCACTGATGCAAATTCAATGGAGAAAGGAAAGGAACAAATTGAGTGTTGAAACAATGAAAGGCATTCTGACAATACAGTACAACTTCCGAGAAACATCTTGCAATGACTTCTATACCTTTCTAAAGAGCAATCAGCCAATACTGAAAACGATCCGATCTACAGAAAAGTATGTATGTGCACATCAAGTCACACACACAGTGGGGGAAGAAGACTGCAGCTAAGGGAATGAAGATATTCAACCTTAACCAAGAGTCATTACCTAATACCTGACCATTGTGGACTTGATCTCACCCTCCTCTATATATATACCTTGTTATGTACTTCTCCTTAGTCTGTACTCACAACTGAAGATGTGAATTACACGAAAGCGCTTGGGAACTTCGTGATTTCTTCTTTCCTTGTGGTTATCAGCATATACCTGGAACACGCGCACCCACAGTGATTTACTTGCATATATATATATATATATATATATATATATATATATATATATATATATATATATATATATATATATATATATATATATATATATATATATATATATATATATATATATACTGTACAGTACTCCCTCTTTATCGACGGGGGTTACGTTCTGTAAACGGCAGTCGATAAAGAAACCGTCGATACCGTGATGGTTACGTAATTTTTCTAACTATTATTAGCATATGTTGAATAAATGTACCTTTAAGCATTAATGCGTTTCCTTTACACATAACCTTAAATAATAGTGTATAAATAATAATATAATAAGTGGACAAAAATACTAGCAAACTTACGATTTCATTTATTGAAGTGAACATCGGTCCTTACAGTAAACAATACAGTGTACAGTATATACAAGTGTGATGATTGAGGCTTATTAAAAGCCTGACCAGTCAGATGAGTATGATGAGTCAAGGTCTGCATCTTCTTGAGGGGTGTGGGCAGGTACTGCGTCTTGTTGTTGTGAGGTGCCGGCAGCTTCTACGTCTTGTTGTTGTGAGGTGTCGGCAGCTTCTGCCTCCTGTTGCAGGATGCCGGCAGGTTCTGCGATGGCAGGCACTCGGCGACTGAAGAAGTTGGTGATGGTGGTCTGTGCTTTCTTGCTTCTCATTTCCCTCTGCAGTTCTATATATGGCAACATAACATTTTCAATAGCTCTCTTTGCTTTAAGGGACCTATCAAGGGAGGGATCAATGTCATAGAGACGAGAAGAGAGGGCCTTACTCATTCTTATTACTTCACCAAGATTATCTAAAGTTAAGTTCTTATTTTCATCATCACTCACTTCATCTTCTGTTTCATCCTGCAGCTCCACTAATTGTTCTAGTTCATCACTTGTAAATGGATCCCCAACATTTCCCAATAACTCTTCTTGCACCTCTGCCGCTGTTAAGTCAGAGAACCCTTCACCTCCAACTTCATTTGCCATAGTTATTATGTTGCGTAACTGAGGCTCGGCTGTTGGGAACCCTGTGAATGTTGGGACAATTTCAGGCCACAATTTTTTCCAACATGATCGGGCACAGTTCTGCGACAGTTCATTGTGGCTTTCAGCGATGAAGTTTATGCACTGTGCAATATCAAATTTCTTCCACATTTCTCTGGGTGTCACATCAGCATCCTTATCAAGGCACTCACGAATCATGCTGAAAGTCTTCTCTGCATATTTAGCCTTAAACAAGACAATGACTCCCTGGTCCATTGGCTGGATGATGGAGGTGGTGTTTTTTGGCAGGAAAACCACCTCAATGTTGGGGTGGGCAGTCTTGAGTTCTTCAGAGTGGCCAGGGCAATTGTCTAGATATAATACCACTTTGAACTCCATGCCAAGTTCATCCAGATAATCTTTCACCTCTCTAGCAAAGCAGTTTTTCAGCCAATCCACGCACAAATCAGATGTCATCCACGCTTTCTTATTGTTCCTGTAGAAAACTGGTAGCAAGTTCATGTTTTTATTTTTGAGAGCCCGAGGTCGTGCGGCATTGTATAACAACATGGGCTTAATCATATGCCCTGCCGCATTCCCACATAGCATCACTGTCACTCGGTCCTTCGCAACTTTAAATCCAGGGGCACTTTTTTCCTCTTTAGAGATGTAGGTTCGGCGTGGCATCTTCTTCCACCATAGGCCTGACTCATCAGCATTAAAAACTTGTTCCGGCCTATAACCCTTTTGTTCTATGTGGTTAGCAAACTCTGCAGGGTATGCTTCCCCTGCCACAGTGTCTGCTGATGCTGCTTCGCCAGTCACTTTTATATTATGCAGCCCATAACGATGTCTGAATTTCTCGAACCATCCTTTGCTAGCTGCAAATTTTTTCAAATTGTCACCATCACCCTGATTATCACCATCACCCTGATTATCACCATCACCCTGATCATCACCATCACCATCACCATGATCATCACCTTTAGAAAACTTATCATAAAGTTCCTTAGCTTTCTGCCTAATAAATTTCGAGTCAAGTGGTATGCGGCGGCGGTTTAGGTCCTCTATCCAAATGTTCAGTGCTTTTTCCATTTTAATGAGGGCATCATCACGCACATGGCTTGTCACTTTTGATGTCACTGGTGCACTTGAAGCTAAAGCGTGCTTCAGATCCTTTGCACGTCGTTTAATTCCACGCACACTGGATTCGTTGAGCCCAAAGTGGCGGCCAACAGCTGCGTAGCTCATGCCGCTGTCGAGTTGTTTCGGCACTTCATTCTTCTCATTCAGCGTCAGCACTCGTCTTGCCCTCTTAGGTGTAGATCCAGAGGGAGCAGCAGGTCGTTTGGGAGGCATGGTGATATAAGTTGATGTGATGAACCACCAGCAAAAGTTGAAAATCAAAGACTGTTGCCCACGCGGCTTGGCTGATGTCTGTGTTCAGGGAAGGCGGGCCGCGGGTAGACGCTAGCCACGCCACTAGTGCCGCCTAGCGGCGAAAGTACAAACAAGGCCCGCAGAGTTCAAATAAAGCCAAAATAAAAATCCGTCTAAATAATCCGTCGATAATCGAAACCGTCGATAAAAAATTCGTCGATAAAGAGGGAGTATATATATATATATATATATATATATATATATATATATATATATATATATATATATATATATATATATATATATATATATATATATATATATATATATATATATATATATATATATATATATATATATATATATATATATATATATATATATATATATATATATATATATATATATATATATATATATATATATATATATATATATATACACACAGTATTACCCCGCCTAACGCGGTTTCACTTAACGCTTTTATCATATACGCGGTGCATCCCAGAGCTGAACTTTCACTTAACACGGATTTTTTCCACATATACGCGGTGAGTGTCCGGCTGGAGACGCTATTTTTAGATTTGCCCCACCCGCCACCCTGCCTGACTGCCTGTTTTAGCTCATAAAATTCATACAAATTACCCGGTCAGAATATAATTTACATTGCTGGAATTCTTATAATTTGGTGATCATTTTGAATATAAACATCATATATTTTGCATTAGACATACAAATTTTAGATAAAATTTTTTCTCAGAGTAACTATGTTATCTTTTGTGCAAAATATATGACATTTATATTCAAAATATTCCTGGTCTTACAAGGAATCCAGCAATGTCAATTATATTATCCTAACTTTAGTTTGAGGTATTATTTATTACAAATAAGTTAAGTATTCTGGTTTTCCCACACATCTCCTTGGGACGGTTGGTGGGGGGTGGGGGGGAGGGAGGGACCGACCGACCATCTGTTACCCGTGAAGAATTTTTTTTTTTTTTATTAACTGAAGATATTTGTTTT